AGATAGCATGGGGAGAAATGCCACATATAGGTGAAGGGGAGGAAGGAAGCAAATCACACTGCCATGTATGTCCCTATGCAACAATCTTGCATATCCTTCACATGTACCTCAAAACCTAAAACAGGCCTGGCACAGTGGCTCAGGCCTATAATCCCAGCACTTTGGGAGGCCGAGGCGGGTGGATCACGAGGTCAAGAGATCGAGACCATCCTGGTCAACATGGTGAAACCCCGTCTCTACTAAAAATACAAAAAATTAGCTGGGTATGGTGGCACATGCCTGTAATCCCAGCTACTCAGGAGGCTGAGGCAGGAGAATTGCCTGAACCCAGGAACCCAGGAGGCGGAGGTTGCGGTGAGCCGAGATCGAGCCATTGCACTCCAGCCTGGGTAACAAGAGCGAAACTCCGTCTCAAACAACAACAACAACAACAACAACAACAAAAAAAAAAAACCTAAAACGTAATAAAATATATATTAAAAAAAATAAATAAGAGAGAGGCGGCGGCACCACGCGGGCAGGAGCTGGGTGGGTGGGTTCCGAGCGGCGGTGGCTGAAGACCGGACGCAGTTGAAGCGGCTCCGTCAGCTGATGGAGGCGAGACCTGAGCAGCGCGAGCTGGAACGCGGCCGAGCCCCGGGCGCTGTCCCCGGCGGGTGGGCACAAGTGGGCGAGGAGCCCCGCACCTCAGCCTAGCCTGTGCACGAAGGCGACGGACGCCACCGAGAACCCACACCGGGACGGAAGGCGGGTCTCCGGCGCCACCGCGGCGCCCCCTAGCGGGAATCAAAATCAAATCTCCGAGAGCGACCAGGTCAATGCGAGCGAGCAAGAACCAGGAGGACGTGGGAAAAAAGCTACTTGGGGGCTTGAGCTGCGATACCAGCAAAAAAGATTTAAAAGACTATTTCACTAAATTTGGAGAGGTCATTGACTGCACAATAAAAATGGATCCCAACACTGGACGATCAAGAGGGTTTGGGTTTATCCTGTTCTACAATGCAGCCAGTGTGAAGGTCCCAGACCAGGAGCACAGGCTGGATGTCCGTGTCATTGACCCCAAAAAGGCCATGGCTATGAAGAAGGACCCGGTGAAGAAAATCTTCATCGGGGGTCTGAATCCTGAAGCCTCTGAGGAAAAGATCAGAGAGATTTGGCGAGTTTGGGGAGATTGAGGCCATTGCAATTTCAGTGGATCCAAAGTTGAACAAAAGACGAGGTTTTGTGTTTATCACCTTTTATTATTTATTTATTTATTTATTTATTTTTTGAGACGGTGTTTAGCTCTTGTTACCCAGGCTGGAGTGCAATGGCGCGATCTCGGCTCACCGCAACCTCTGCCTCCTGGGTTCAGGTAATTCTCCTGCCTCAGCCTCCTGAGTAGCTGGGATTACAGGCACGCGCCACCACGCCCAGCTATTTTTTTGTATCTTTAGTAGAGACGGGGTTTCACCATGTTGACCAGGATGGTCTCAATATCTTGACCTCGTGATCCACCCGCCTCGGCCTCCCAAAGTGCTGGGATTACAGGCTTGAGCCACCACGCCCGGCCCGTTTATCACCTTTTAAAAAAGAACCCGTGAAGAAGGTTCTGGAGAAAAAGTTCCATACTATCAGTGGAAACGAGCGTGAGGTCAAGGTGGCCCAGCCCAAAGCAGTTTATTAGCAGCAGCAGTATGGCTCTGGGGGCCCTGGAACCCTCCACGAGGGAACCGAGGCAGCAGAGGCGGTGGAGGAGGTGGAGGTCAGGGTGATACAAACTACGGCAAGAGCCGGAGACACGGTGGCCATCAGGACAAGCCACACTGAGGCGGCGGCAGGAGAGACCAACTGACCGCACACTCGCTTTGTCAGGATATGGAGGGAACACAATTACGTACCAAATGTAACTTGGCAAACTTTCTATGGCCTGTCCCGTGTGCCTCTTACTTAAAATTCCCCCCATGGAAATCACTCTCCTGTTTACCAATTCCAGAGCTCTAGTTGTTCAGGCAGCGTGTGGTGTTTGAGAGACCAGAGCGCATTGTGGGCTGATTTTTTTTTTTTTTAACCGAGTTTTGCTCTTGTTGCCCAGGCTGGAGTGCAATGGCGCCATCTCGGCTCACTGCAACCTCCACCTCCAGGGTTCAAGCGATTCTCTTGCCTTATTACCAGGTTCCCCAGATGGCAGTCTCTGCTTCCTGCTGCCTCGCTCTGCAGCCTGGATCTGTGGACCCTGGTTGTAAAGTATAAATTGTTTCTTAGAAAACCAGTGTCACATTTTTTCACCTTTTAATTTCATATTATTTGTGTCATACATTTCCTATTATGGAAGTGTTAATTTTACTGTATTTTTTGGTACCTTTTGGGAATCTAATATAAGGTATTTTACATGTGTCCTGATTTTGCCACAACCTGGATATTGAAGCCATCCAAGCTTTTGAAATAAAAATTTAACCCCCCCATGAAAAAGAAATAAAGCCAAATACTTAACAGACAGCTGATTTTTGATGAATCATACATAAACAGAAACTGGGGCAATAACACCTTATTTAATAAAAGGTGCTGGAAAGGCTGACAAGCCACATGTAGAAAAATGAAACTAGAGCCCTCAAAATCAACTCAAGATGGATCAAAGACTTAAATCTAACACCTGGAAGTATAAAAATCACCGAATATAATAAGAAAAAACTCTTCTGGACATTAGCCTATGCAAAGAATTTATGACTAATACTCCAAAAGCAAATGCAACAAAGACAAAAATAAATAAATGAGACCTCATGAAACTAAAAAGCTTCTGCACAGCAAAAGAAATAGTCAGCAGAGTAAACACACAACCCACAGAATGAGACAAAATATTTGCAAACTATGCATCCAACAAAGGACTAATATCCAGAATCTACAAGGACCTCAAACAAATCAGAAGGAAAATAATAATAATAATAATCCCATCAAAAAGTGAGCAAAGGACATACATAGACATTTCTCAAAAGAAGATATACAAACATCCAGCAAACATATGAAACAATGCTCAACATCACTAATCATCAGAGAAATGCAAATTAAAACCACAATGAGATCCCAGCACTTTGGGAGGCCGAGGCGGGTGGATCACGAGGTCGACAGATCCAGACCATCCTGGTCAACATGGTGAAACCCCGTCTCTACTAAAAATACAAAAAATTAGCTGGGCATGGTGGCGCGTGCCTGTAATCCCAGCTACTCTGGAGGCTGAGGCAGAAGAATTGCCTGAACCCAGGAGGCGGAGGTTGCGGTGAGCCGAGATCGCGCCATTGCACTCCAGCCTGGGTAATAAGAGCGAAACTCCGTCTTAAAAAAAAAAAAAAACCACAATGAGATATCAGCTTACTCCTACAATAATGGCCATTATTAAAAAGTCAAAAAACAAAGATGTTGGCATGAGTGTGGTGAAAAGGAAATGCTTACACACTGCTGGTGGGAATGTAAATTAGTACAGCCTCTATGGAAACAGTATGAAGATTACTCAAAGAACTAAAAGTAGGTCAACTATTCTATCTTGCAATCCCACTACTGGGTATCTACCCAAAGGATAATGTCATTATATATGAAAAAGACACGTGCACATATATGATTATAGCATCACAATTCACAGTAGCAAAAATATGGGACCAACCTAAGTGCCCATTGACCAATGAGTGGAAAAGAAAATACGGCATATATACACCATGGACTACCACTCAGCCATAAAAAATAATGAAATAATATTTTTCATAGCACCTTGGTTAGAGCAGGAGGCCATTATTCTAAGTAACTCAGGGAGGGATGAAAAACCAAAAACTTTTTGTTCTGACTTATAAGTGGAAGCTAAGCTATAAGTAGGCAAATGCATACAGAGTGATATAATGGACTTAAGAGACTCAGAAGTGGGAGGTGAAAAGGGAGGCGGAGGGATTAAAACCTATGTATTGAGTACAATTTACACTACTCAGGTGGGTGACAGGTGCATTACAATCAGAATCCATTGCTATATAATTCATCCATGTAATCAAAAACCTCTTGTACTCCAAAAGCTATTGAAATTAAAAAAAATACATAACTAAAAATACAAATATCTTCCTCTTGCGTAGTTCCTTGTAAGAGTAGGAAATCAAAAATTATTTGTTTGCATTGGGTTGGGTATCAGAGAGCCATATGACAGAGAAGGTAGTCGGAATTGTGAAGATGAAGGTGTGTGAAGGCCATATGTGAATAAAACAGAGATAGAGTGCTAAAAATGATAACAGCTGGGATCAGAAAAAGGCACCCGTAATTATGAGTCTCATAAAATAGCAATTAGAACTATTTCATGTCACAAACTTCAGTTGTTATTCAAGTATATTCCTCAGAATTTTTGATAAACAACATACATTAACATTTATACTACTTTTCCTTAAAATTTGTTTTTTTCAACAATAACAAGAATATTTTTGACTATTGGCTATATGGCAAGTACTAGTCACAGACTGTTGTGTACACCCATGTACACCAAAGCTGTCTGTTCTTTTAGAGACTATATTCTATGGAGAAAGGCAGATATATACAAGAAAGATAGTATGAAGCTGGTGCAAAAGTTATTGTGGTTTTTGACATTGAAAGTTTTTTCTTATGTCATTTTTTCCCTTTCTTTTTCTTATGTTTATTATATAGTACAACTATTTTTTTTATTTTACTTTAAGTTCTGAGATATACATGCAGAATGTGCAGGTTTGTTACATGGGTATACGTGTGCCATGCTGGCTTGCTGCACCTATCTGTCTCATCCCTTTCTACATATTTTTAAATAATGACAATATAAATTTGCATATTAAACAGTAGTAAACCTCACAAAAATCTTCATCTTCTCTTAGATTTAAAAAATTTTTAAGAACTCTAATTAATGCTTTAATATCAAAATATCTACTATAAATATTCCCTCCACCCACACCAAATTCATTTTTTGGGGAGAAGGCAAATCGTGATAGTGATTGTGACACATGGGCACATAATTTAGAGGCTAGGGGTTTTTTGATAAGAGTTTTCTTTTTTTATTGAGATGAAATCCACATAACATAAAATCAGCCATTTTAAAGTGAATAATTTAGTGAAATTTGTACAATTTCTTTTCACATATTAATTGACATTAGAGGGCTGCAAATGCCTCCCCAGTAATATAGAAATATCCACTGGAAATAAAAATAGCACCAGTGGGAAAGTATGAAAAAAAAGAAAAGAGACAAATCAGCACATGAGGAAATATAGTTTCATTCCAATAATACCTTTTTGCAGTAGTTACTGAAAAAAATGATAAAAATTATAAAACAGTACATCAGGAAACTAATAAAGCATGTTTCATATTACAAAATGTTAATACTTGTTCCAATTAGATTGATTACTTTTTTATATTCATCAACAGACTTTGTGTATTTTTTGGTTGCTAGCGTTTAAAAAGCAGAAAACTTTCCTTTGAGAGCAGTTTCCATACTGCTAGAAGTTAAGGGACAAATTGTGGCAACAAACCATGCACTTCAATGGCATATTTGAGTACAAAAACAACTCTAATAGAGCCGGGAATTAAGATTATCTTATGGTTTATCCCAGGTAAATACCAAGTCAATGGCAAAATGAAACTTCAGGCTTGGGGCAAGGCGTGATGGCTTACATCTGTAATCCCGGCACTTTGGAAGGCCAAGGCAGGCAATCACTTGAGCCCAGGGGTTGGAGACTAGCCTGGTCAACATGGCAAAACCCAGTCTCTACAAAAAATACCAAAAGTTAGCCAGGCATGGTGACATGCACCTGTAGTCCCAGCTACCTCGGGGGAGCTGAGGTGAGGAGATGGCTGCAGTGAACCAAGATCGCGCCATTGCACTCCAGCCTGAGTAACAAAGTGAGATTCTATCAAAAAAAAAAAAAAAAAAAAAAAGAAAGAAAAGAAAAGAAATTCAAGCTTGACTGCCCTGACTCCATGTCTAGAGATCTACTAACTAGAACAATAATACTGGCCTATGTGTAGGTCAACAAATACAGAAACCACAGCCTCCCCTTTCAATTTCTTGGGTACGATTACAGTTTGCCAAGCTCTCTGAACATTTTCTGCATTTATTTTGACTTCTGCTGTTACTCTTTTCTGTTCTGTTTTCTGTCCTCCTTACTAGCTCACGTATTTCTTCCCTCCTCCTCTACCCTATCCCTTACATTGCAAACTTCTTCTCACAAATACTATATGAGGGCACACTACACAATTGATCATAAATGATTGACACATGAATCCATACACAATTGAGAGATGAGTTTTCTTGGGTAGCTGTGGTTCTGATCTGAAATCTGTTAAAATAGAATACAATGATGTAATTAGAACAAATGTTAAGGAATACTGTCCACATGGCACTCAAATAAATTAGTAAGGATATTGGTGAAAAGAGTTCCGAAGTGTTTATATTATTGGAAAAAGGGGTTTAAATCTAAATTGTTTTTAATCTCAAGTGGTTAAATGAATAGTCTCCATTCTTAAGGCAGAAAAATGACACAATTTTTTTATTCAAGAAATAAGACTAGTTGCATAAACTTAAAAAAGATCCTGGCAAAGAAGAAAAATCATTTAATATTCTATAAAAAGTTCTTTATATATCTTTCAACCTATTACTTAGATGTTTCTTTATCAAATCAAGCAACAGCTCAGTGAAACTATTATTGAATATACTTAGTGAGTAGACCAAGCAGAAGTATTAATGCTGAAAGGAATCAAGAACTAAAAAAAAGAATCATAGATGCCTTTAAATCAGGTCATTTAAAGGAAGGGCAAACAACTCTTGTTTATTTTAATTTATCCTGAAAGCAGAATTATATCACAATACAATGCTTGACAGTTATGGTAATCAACATTGGTAAATGGAAGCACTGTCCTATTCAATTTGGTCTTCAAAATCCTGAAGGAGCAGTGTTAATTAGTCAAGCTCAAAGAGGATCACTGCACCTCAGTGCAAAAGCTATGACTTGGCGCTCTTTGTCTTGGGTATCTATCTCTTCTTCTTGACGCTGAGGTTGGAAGACTGAGAAACCTTTGCTCTAGAGATGACTAAGACTAGGATTAACTACTTAGTTTATACCTCAGGGAGAACGCTGATCAGCATTATTTTAAAAAATTTTTCCTTGACATCTAAGTGTTTTGGGGCTGGATTAAATAAATGCCACCAAGAAAACCACAGAGTACTAACATATCAAACAAAACGTTAACTTGGGCCCACGCTTGTGATTATAGAAAGAGTCCTCTAGCCATATGTTTAAAACAGCAAAAGAAAACTCAAGACAAACAAGTTCTATAAAAAAGTAGAAAATACATTTGGCCGATTGTTTGTTAATACATTCACTGTACTTGGCCTAGTAGAAGTAAAACAGTTAAGTGATTATACTCAGCAGTCGGTACCATTCACACCATTGGGTGAACAGACTCTGTGGTGAGAACAGAGGCAAATGAAAAAACACTTCGAATTAATTCTGCAAAGATTTTAAGATACAGTGTTAAACACCCTATAAAAAGCAATCTGACATAAAAGAAAACTAGTCAACACAAATGAAAAGTAGTAAAAAGAAAGAGAGAGAGAGAGACAGAGACATATATACATATAGGACATTGGAATTACATATAGACAGATATATACAGGACATTCAGACACATGCTAAAACAACTATGGTTAGTGTATTCTAAGAGTTAAAAGACAGTACTGAGAATGCTGGAAGGAAAATGGAAGTATAAGTGTTGAAAAAATAGATTTGAGAAAAAAACCATACTAAAATTATAGAACTGAAAATGTCACCAAACAAAATAAAAAATATAGACCTTTAATAGCAGATTAGCCACAGATGAGGAAAATAGATGAACTGGAAGATATGTGAAGGGTAATTACATAGATTGGAGTGAAAAGATAAAAAAGAATGAAAACACAGGAAAAAGCAAAAGAAACATATAGGATGCTGTAAATGGATCTATAATGAGTGTAACTGGGATTCTAGGAGAAGGGAAATAAGATGGGGAAAACACAAAATTTGAAGCAAGTATGGCTGAGAATTTTTCATTACTGAGTAAAGACATCAGATTTAAGCCACATGTTACCTTCAAACAGATGAACTCGCAAAAGGAATATTGGATCTGGGTCACGGCACCAGAAAAAAACAAAAAGAAGAAGAAGAAGACGATGTAACCCCAGCTACTCGGGAGGCTGAGGCAGGAGAATTGCCTGAACCCAGGAGGCGGAGGTTGCAGTGAGCCGAGATCGTGCCATTGCACTCCAGCCTGGGTAACAAGAGCGAAACTCCATCTCAAAAAAAAAAAAAAAAAAAAGAAGAAGAAGACAAAGAAGAAGAAGAAGAGGAGGAGGAGGAGGAGGAAGGGGAGGAAGAAGAAGAAGAAGAAGAAAGAACAATAAAAAATAGAAAAAAGTGGAATAACGTATTTGAGTGGCTGAGAGCAAAAACAACAAACTCCTAATCCTATACTTATTGAAAATATCAGTCTTAAGAAAAAATACCTGAAATGTAGAGTAGGAAAGGAAGAAATAATAAATAATTAAAATCATAAATATGTGGGCAAATTGAATTGAATACTAACTGCATAAATTGCTGTGTGCCACCATGCCTGGCTAACTTTTGTATTTTTTTTTAAGAGATGGGGTTTCACCATGTTGGCCAGGCTGGATCTCAAACTTCTGACCTCGAGTGATACATCTGCCTCGGCCTCCCAAAGTGCTGGGATTACAGGCATGGGCTACTGCACCCAGCCCAAACAAGGGCTTTTTTTTTTTTTTTTTTTTTTTTTTTTTGAGACTGAATCTATCTCTATTGCCCAGGCCGGAGTGCAGTGGCATGATCTCAGCTCACTGCAACCTCCGTCTCCCGGGTTCAAGCAATTCTCATGCCTCAGCCTCTGAGTAGCTGGGATTACCGGTGCCCACCACCACACCTAGCTGGTGGTGCACAGCTGTAGTCCCAGCTACTCAGGAGGTTGAGGTGGGAGGATCACATGAACCCAGGAGGCAGAGGTTGCAGTGAGCTGAGATCGTGCCACTGCACTCCAGCCTGGGCGATAAAATTAAAATAAGTACATTAATATAATAGCATATAAACTGAGGAGGGCATCAACAAAGTAAAGGAATGCTCTATTAATTTTTATATTGATCAGGAAGAACATAAAAATGCCAGTCAATATTAGTCTTTGATGAGTGAAGATTACGTATATAATTCCAGGAACAACTACTCAAAGATTAGTAAAAGAAATGTAAAAGATGTGAAAGAGCACATTCCAAATGAACAGATAAAAAAACTGAATAAGAAAAAGTGTTGGCCGGGCGCGGTGGCTCACGCCTGTAATCCCAGCACTTTGGGAGGTGGAGGCGAGTTGATCACAAGGTCAAGAGATCGAGACCATCCTGGTCAACATGGTGAAACCCCGTCTCTACTAAAAATACAAAAAATTAGCTGGGCATGGTGGCGCGTGCCTGTAATCCCAGCTACTCAGGAGGCTGAGGCAGGAGAATTGCCTGAACCCAGGAGGTGGAGGTTGCGGTGAGCCGAGATCGTGCCATTGCACTCCAGACTGGGTAACAAGAGCAAAACTCTGTCTCAAAAAAAAAAAAAAAAGAAAAGTAAAGAAAAAGTCTTATAAGAAAAACTGAACAAGGAAAAGCAAATGAATGACAATACCAGTGACAAAGACTTCAACACATAATAAGGAATAATGTATACTCATGCAAATGCGAAATACATTTAAAACATCTTTCTAAAATGCAAAAGTGAAAATGTGGTTACTTTTTAACTTAATAATAAGTATCACACATTAACTATGTACAAGACACTGTGCTAAATAACTTTATTTTCTTTCTTTCTTTTGTTTTTTGAGATGGAGTTTCATTCTCGTTGACCAGGCTGGAGGGCAATGGCACAATCTCAGCTCACCACAACCTCTGCCTCCCGGGTTCAAGTGATTCTCCTGCCTCACCTCCCAAGTAACTGGGATTACAGGCATGCACCACCACGCCTAGCTAATTTTGTATTTTTAGTAAAAACAGGGTTTCTCCACGTTGGTCAGGCTGGTGTTGAACTCCAAATCCCAGATGATCTTCCTCCCTCTGCCTCCCAAAGTGCTGAGATTACAGGAGTGAGCCTCTGCACCCAGCCCAATAATTTTACTTTTATACCCAACTCATAATTCTAAAAACGAGCACTCTTCCTTTCTTTTGTTTTTGTCTTTTGTTTGAGTTGGAGTCTCGCTGGAGTCCCATTCTGTCATCCAGGCTGGAGTGCAGTGGCATGATTTCAGTTCACTGTAACCTCGGTCTCCCAGGTCCAATCAATTCTCCTGCCTCAGTCTCTTGAGTAGCTGGGATTTCAGGCAAATGCCACCACACTCAGTTAATTTTTGTATTTTTAGTGGAGATGGGGTTTTGCCATGTTGGTCAGGTTGTTCTCGAACCCCTGACCTCAAGTGATCTGACCACGTAGGCCTCCCAAAGTGCTGGGATTACAGGCATAAGCCAGTACTTCTGGCCCAGAGCACTCTTTCTATTCTCATTTATGGATATAAAAAAATGGGACTCAGAGAGGAAAAATGACTTATCCTCAATGTCACACAATCAGTGAGTGGGCTAATAACCCGAATTGAGGCCTGGCTTCAAAACTGACGTTCCTAACCAGACGGTTACACTGACTGACTGACTGCTCCTTGCCTGGACAACCTCAACATGTCGGATGCCTCCCTGGTAAGAAAACCAAAAGAACATCGGTGTTGATGGCGCTAGAAGGCCTCTCGGCTCCTTTTCGCTCTCGAATCCTCCTCATTCTTCTCCTTTTGTCCTAGCTCACTCTTTCTCTTCTTTCATGCCTTTCTTTCTCAAATATGGTTAGCAAATCAGGTTCTTAGTCGCTTGCCAGAGGTTTTCACAGATGAGGTGAAAACCTCCCTCTGCGAAAGAGGATGAAGCACTGTGTCTCTAAACACTTACAAGTTAGGAGAGAATGTTGATCCATCCTCCCACAGCCATGGTCCCTCAGTCTGGGTCCTCGAAAGGCCTATCCAGAATGAATTATCAGGTTGGGAAGATACTTGCTTTAATATAAATCCCTGTAAGGAAACAAACACAAATAGACAACAAAGAGAGAGAGAGAGAGAGGAGAGAGAGACACTATTAGCATGAACATGGAGAAAAAGACAACTGATTGAATCACTTTGGCGAAGGATGCTTGCCTAACCTGACATCAACCTCGAGAGAAATGTCAATTTTTGAATGTCATTGAATGTCTCAAAAGGCCTATTTTATTTATTTAAAGTAATTATCATTTAACTTTCCAAGAGAATAGATTTATAATGTCAAGATCGTACTGCCTCCATTCAATCTATTGACAAAATCCCAGATGACAGGCCCCCTGGGCACTTTTCATGGCCGACTGGCCGCTATCTTCTCCTCCAACTGAAGAAATAAATGGATGCTACTCTTGTTAAGAAGTACTTCTCAGAGTTAGGTAACAACTTAAAAATGATTTAGTCCAACTGCATATTTTATGAATAAGTAATGTGAGGTTCAGCGAAGAGATCTGAATTGTTGACAAATACAGAGCAATTTACTTTCAATTATAGGCTGGCCTAAAAGTCAGATAGACTTGTAATCCAATACTCTTTCTTCACCGTTTAACTTTAACATAAATTGTTACTACTGGGTAAGACATTACAGAAACAAACAAACAAAAAAAAGAGAATAGTCAAAGTGGATGTAAAAGCGTCAACTGGTTTAGATTAATAATGGAGAATATTCCCTATTAACCCCTTCCATTGCCTCATCCAAGCCCTGCCCTTCATTCACGGTGGTTTATAAGTGCCACTCTTTATGAAAACTTCTTATGAACAGGGATCTCTTTCAGCTTCTATAATAGCTATTGCCAATGCCGGATATTTAACTTTTAATAACTCCTAAGTTGCTTTTTTTTTTTACTTAAAAAATTATATGTGTCCTGGGATAGCAGTGCTATTTTTTAACCCTCTTTGCCTTTCAAGTATCTTGCAAAGAGCAAATAATTTATAAACATATATTATTACTGCTGCCGTTTTTCTTGATAATTATGATGACAAGGAGGACAATGTTCCACTTTACTCCACCAAATTTAAAAATTGAAATACAAACTCACAAAAATGGGTAGTGGCCTGATTATTGTAGTCATGCATACATGGAGTGTGTTTCAAAGGCTTTGTTTTAAAGTGAAACAGTTTTTTTTAATTCGTTAAACGCCTATGCTATGCACTTTATGTGCTTAAGGCTACAATTGTAATTAGAGTGAAAGTGAAAATGACTTTTGGTTGAGTGTAACCTGTAATCCCAACACTTGGGGAGACTGAGGTGGGCGGATCACTTGTTCCCAGGAGTGTGGGACCAGCCCAAACAATATGGACAAACCCCGTCTCTACAAAACAATACAAAAAAAAAAATGAGATGGGTATGGTGGTGCACCCTGTAGTCCTAGCTACTCAGGAGGCTGAGGTGGAAGGATGACTTGAGGCTGGGGAGGTCAAGGCTTCAGTAAATCGTAAACTGCACCACTGCACCACTCTATTGCTCTATTTCAGGCAATAGAGCGAGATACTGCCTAAAAAAAAAAAAAAAAAAAAGAAAAAAAAAAGAAGGAGGAGGAGGAGGAGGAGGAGACTTCATTTTAGGGAAAATTGTCATTACCTGGAATTTCCCTCTATTTTCCTTTTGGATACAGACCACAGATAATTATAACAGAAGTGTATACTTGCCAATTCTTTTGAATTGTCGATCTTCAGGAGGTTAGAGTCCAGTTGAGAGCATTGTCTTTTACTTCCATCCCAAGAATTTAGTGATGTGCTGAATAGATAACAGCTATTCTCATGTATAATCCAGTTAGGAGGACAAGGGCTGGAACGATCTCCTAGAAATAAAAGATTCGTACCATGAGTTCATAGCATACCAATCCACTCTTTTAGTGTGAACACCATTCATCTTAAGGACACTTCCAAAATAACCAATGAGCTGCCATTATTATATTTCAGTTTCAGTTCAAACTATAGGGATATGATTTTACCAATGAGAATACATTCAAATCTTCGTATTCATTAAAAATTTAAAAATGAATTAACTATGAGTAGTATTTTAGGCAGCCAACCATCCTTTTTTCTTGAGTTTGATTTCTTCAGATTCAGCTCAAAACTACCTTTCTCCTTAATAACTCCTTAAAATAAGTCCACTCACAATCAATCACTGAGGAACACAGCAATTTCATCTTGCTACTTTATTTTATGATGTAAGATCTACTTCAGAATGTGACTTTCCAAATGAGAAAAGTATAGGTCAATTATTCATATTACGCAGTATCTCTGTTACATATTATTAACTACTTAATAAAAACGTTGAGGAGGTATGGGTCCAGACATGAAAAATTAAAATGAAAATATTAAGTCACAGTCAATTATGATGCAATTAGAAGTAAAGGTCAAGTGTATATAGAATTGTAATTAAGTAAATGAAATTGTACGAGTAAACGAATTCGATGAGTTTTCGGGAACGTGTGTATTAGCTCTACCTCTTTTGTGTATTTTTAATTTAGCTTCTTTATTCTTGGCAACATTTTCCCTTATTTCTTTTCTCCCTGTCATTCTTCCTTTCTCATGTCATATTTTCTATTCCAACTGTATTGCTTTAAAAATGACAATTCTGTAAGGAGAGAGAACACTTTTCTTTGTATTGAAATATATGATCTCCTGTAGATCTAAGCACGTAGCCAGTGATAAATCAGTTACTGATTTTAAAAATTGTTAAAGTCGAATTTAGAACTGTTCAGCCAAGTGCATAGGGTACTTACAATTTCACCTTATTGTATATATGACAGGGATACATTACACTAAGATAATACTGATATGTGTACTTGCCTTTAATGTACAATCATTGAATCTAAGCATATTTTCTTTACATCCCTGTCCCAGGCCTCAGCACCAAGAATTAACCCTCTCGAAACAAGATTCAATCCTTTAACTATGCCCTTGCCTGTGGTTTTGATAGCTTTGGTAGGAGTCACACTCTCTTCTAAAGATGATTGTGTGGGTTGACTGTGGTTCTCTTTATTTCTTGGTGGAAAGTGGCCATCCTTCAGTGGGTTGCTTCCTGAATGGGATCTCCATATAGCTTCAATACCAACAACAACAACAGTGACAGGAAAAACAGTCATTCTGCTATGTTTGAAGATTAAAATCCCAAAACCCATATGATATTGGAATAAAAGGATACATTACTGATTAATGATAAATAGATGATATATTGCTGTGGAGAGATAAAGACGATTGATTGATAGAATAGGCAAAAAAATAAATAACTTTCATAAAGGAGGTATAGTGAAAAAAAGAAAAAGGAAGGTAGAGAAGAAGAAATAGAATGAGGAAGGCAGCAAGAGGCAAATGTCATATAGTCAATTGGAGCCATGGCAGATTGGAAATAGCATCGTCTTTCACCTTTCTTTCTTGTTTAAAAATGAGAGACCCTTGAGAAACTGCCCAGTACCTATAACATAGAATGCACTCAATAAACATTTGACTAATTAAGGAACGTCATGAAGATTCTCTGAAGGCACTTGACAACAGACTGCATGTGATATAAAAAAGATATTCATCCTAGCCAGGTGTGGTGGCTCATGGCCTGTAATCCCAGTACTTTGGGAGGCCAAGGTGGATGGATCACCTGAGGTCAGGAGTTTGAGACCAGCCTGACCCATACAGGTGAAACCCTGTCTCTACCAAAAATACAAAATTAGCCAGTTGTGGTGGCAGGTGCCTGTAGTCCCAGCTACTCGGGATACTGAGACAGAAGAATCGCTTGGACCCAGGAGGCAGAGGCTGCAGTGAGCCGAGATGGGGCTACTGTACTCCAGCCTGGGCAACAAGAGTGAGACTACATCCCAAAAAAAAAAAAGAAAAGAAAAAAAGATAGTCATCCATTACAAAATATCGACTTAGGACCAAGTGCCTCAGGCATTGCTGGTATATTCAAAAGTGCTTATATTAAAGATCAGAAATAATTTCCTTAACGACCCTCCTAGAAATAGTTTAATGTCTCTATAGTGAATTTATTTCATTAGGAAGACAGCATCATATTGTACTTCCTTCTTCAGCTCCGTGTATTTCCTTCCATTAATTTACCGTTTGAATTCCACAGCGATGAGTTTTTTAGACAGATCACCAACATTTCTAATCATGGTCCCACCACTAACCAGCTTATAACTCTGGAAAGGTAAAATAACCTCTCAGTTTCTTACCCCTAAGGGAATGGGCATTCATAGCACCAACTCAATGCAGATAAAACCAGATTATATATAAATTAATGTAGATTATGCATGTCAAGCCCTTAATAGAATGCCTGGCACATAATAATTGCTTACTGAATTGTCTGTGGTTGTTATTGTTAATCTCCCCCACCAAATACTCACCCGTGGTGCCCAGGACCACAGCTGTCACCACTGTTACCAAGCAGAGGATTCCCAAAATCACAGCAATAAGACGCCAAGGAGGAGATGCAGCGCAAGATCCTGGGGAGCCAGAGAGGGCAGAAGTGGAATAAAGAAGGAGAATAATGGATGGTGGGGCACTTTAATTCTACAGTTCATCAAAAATCTGGCCAGGCACGGTGGCTCACACCTGCAATCCCAGAAGGGATACTGAGGTAGGAGGATTGCTTGAGGTCAGAAGCTCAAGAGCAGCCTGGGCAACACAGGGAGACCCTGTCCCTACCAAAATAATAATAATAATAATAATAATTAGCTGGGCATGGTGGTGAGCGCCTGTAGTCCCAATTACTCTGGAGGCTGTGGCAGAAGGATCACTTGAGCCCAGGAATTGCAGAGCAGCCTGGGCAACAGAGGGATACGCCGAAAAAACAAAAAACAAAGCAAAACAAACAAACACACACACGAAATCACAAACCGACAACAAAAACTGGCAAATTTGAAAGTGAATTATTAATCACTGCCTAGATTACCTAGTCACCTAGGATTAGCTGTGATTTTCTCCAACTGTAAGGATATCTCTTCTTCATCTGCTAGAATTGTAATTTCAGCACATTGCCTTGATATCTGTATGCTCCTCATTTCAGCTCCACATTGACAGCTACAGGTCTTGACGTTAGATCCCTGAAATCCTGCTGCTTCTTAGAGGAAATAGCTTGAAGCTGGGGAGATAGCACTGATTACTGAGGGTAATTTTCCCTTTCTGTATGTTTGTTGCGTGACCCAGGGCAAATTACTCCCTTAGTTGTTTTTTATTCCTCTTTGTGAAATTGGAGTAATATCTCAAAGGATGATTGTGGGAATTAAAAAAGCTAACACACACAAAAGCACCTTGTTTAGAGACTGCTATGGCATAGGTGTGTTGTTACAGAAAACTGTCAGCCTACACGTTTGCATCGACACTCACGTCTCCCTACCCCTTGCCTCACATGATTTTTCTATCCTTCCTCAACAGGTTTCCCAAGAAAAGAATTACATCAGTGCTGAGAGGAAAATAATTGCACAATGTGAATAACAAGAAAGCAGAAGAAAGCGAACTCTGGTGTCAGAACTGACAAATGAGCTCTCTCTTAACGATAATAGGGAATGAAGTTTGTATTAACATTGCCATAACCAGAATGTATTTCCGCTTTCCACTGAGACTAAGCTGTAAGGACATTTCATAGAACTGTCACATAGGAGAATCATAAGAGTAGACCAAATCACTCATTCTATGAATACAGAGATCCTCCAATGCCCTTCTTTCTATTTCATTTCATTTACATTTTAAGATTCGTGTCCTGCTGATGGAAGGTTTTGTTTTGTTTTTTTGTTTGTTTGTTTTTGTATTTTGAAAAAATACTCCTAGAGATGGGAGGTTTTTATCTACCATATATTAATCTATTTTCCTTCACTGGCATATCAATAACTCTTTTTTGTTTAAAAATCATCCAAATTAACCTCTTACCACAAAAAAATGTTATTTATATTTACTTCTTTACGTTTCCTGGCCTCCATTCTATAATCTATCCTTTCTATCAAACAAGCAGCAAGTCACTCAGATAGAAATCCTTCATCTTTGTGTATTATCCCACTTATTACCAATTTCTCACTGATGAAGTGTCTATATCTATAGAAAAGAGAAACTGTATTTTCTGCCATCAGACATAATTAATTTAAATATTAATAATTGGTCATAGAATAATTTTCATAAAAAAAGGTTTAGAGTGCATTCAAATTGTCTTCAGTGACATTTGAAGCCCTTTAAAATACATTCATAAAGTTCTACTGATCATGAGCCTCTCAAATTTTCTCCTTTTATACCTTTTTGAATGGGAGAGCTAAAGTCATACGTTAGAAAAAAAATATATATATATATATACACACACACATATACATATGTATATACCTTTCTCTGAAACAACGGATATCCTGGTATTGTTTTGAGAGCTGAAGCGTAATTGAGTGTATCCGTCTTCATCCAGATTTTCTAAATCAGGATATTCCATTGTTCTTGAGAGCCCCCGAATAGACACAGCATTTGGGAGCTCTTTTCTTTCTGCTCCTGAGACGATTGCCTGTGGACGAAAGAGAATCTCTGAGTCAAACCATGTGGGATAGGCACTGACTGGAGTTGGACAGATTAAGCTTAAGTCGTTCAACCAGATACTCAGAAGCAGGAAGTGAAACTCTGCTGTGGGAATTTTCCATTTGTACCTTTAGGTCCTGTTTCTGAGACTGCTGACTCAGGAAAATGAAAAGGCAGCATAGCAGATAAGTCTTTGTTTCAAAACAAATGTAAGAAAAACGCACAAATTAATGTGTTATGCTGCCTTCGTTACTCTCACAACTGAATCCGACATCAGGAATTAATGTAACCGATGCAAACTACTACAGTTTTGGTACTCTGCATGCACCACAACTTTGCTGTAACCTTGTTCATGTATTTATTCATGTGTTTTTTAAAATTATGTAAACAGGCCGGGCGCGGTGGCTCACGCCTGTAATCCCAGCACTTTGGGAGGCCGAGGCGGGTGGATCACGAGGTCAAGAGATCGAGACCATCCTGGTCGACATGGTGAAACCCCGTCTCTACTAAAAATACAAAAAAAATTAGCTGGGCGTGGTGGTGCATGCCTGTAATCCCAGCTACTCGGAGGAGAATTGCCTGAACCCAGGAGGCGGAGGTTGCGGTGAGCCGAGATCGAGCCATTGCACTCCAGCCTGGGTAACAAGAGCGAAACTCCGTCTCAAAAAAAAAAAAAAAAAAAATTATGTAAACAGATACTGAATGCTCACCTTTTCAACGGACAGGAGCTTAGAACACAAAGAAAAATGATACCTATAAAGAAACTCATTGCCTAATAGAGGAAATATGTAGATAGGTAAATAAGGGCTGGCATGAGAGGGTGCGTTGTTCTAACAACAGACAGAGAAAACAAACCTCTAGGAATTATCAGATACTAGCAATACAAAACGACTTTTATTTATTGAACAGTAACTTTGAGCTAGGTACCACACGTTGCATATGGTTTGTTCAATCTCACTTTTGCAAGGGGTTGTTATTTCTGTTTTCAGATGCAAACATGAGACAGAGAAAATTTAGTCTCCTTCTAAGGCTTAAGAAGCTAATTTTAAAAATTTAGAGCAAGGGATCAAACTAAAGCTGACTCTTGCTGCAAAACTCATGGTCTTTTTGCTACGCTACATGCCTCTTTCATCATCCCATACACTCATATTGCAAGGAACAGCTCAAGGAAGGTGCTGGGACTGAAATATTATGCTAGTATGCTAAACGTTTGATATTTTTTTCCCTCTTCCCATTTCCATAGTAATGATCAAGTCAAGGAAATACAGAAAACACCTAACATTGCTGGAAACTGAAGTGCCCAACTCATTTACCAGAACCAGAGTGCAGGAGACATCTGAGTGTTGTCAAAGATCAACAAACCTGAATGGTAGTTAATGTGGTGAGGACAGGTTTTATTCAGCAATACTATTGCAACAGGAAACAGTGCAGCATGAACGGAACTCAATTTCCCCAAAAGTAAAGCTGATAACATTTTAAAGTATGGAGTGTGCTAAGGAAAATACATTGAGTGGTGTTAAGGAGGTTAATGTGACTAGACCATCTGGATTTGTTAATTGGCCCTTATCCAGAGGAGAGAGAAACTTCGCCTATCTATGTGACAGATGGGCATGGTGCAAGTTGAAGTGAAGCACCCAGGTGAGTTGGTCTTTATCCTCCAACTAAAAGAAAGAGCAAGATTTAGCTCCCTGAAAGTTTGCATGTCAAAGAAACAGCTCCCAGGTCCTTGAAGAAACAGCTCTGTGTGGTAGATTTGCTTCTCAAAGGGCAGAGAAAGAATTTAACTGTAAGATTTCTTTTCTTTTTATTTATTTTTTTATTTTTTATTGGATTTTAGGTTTTGGGGTACATGAGCAGAGCATGCAAGACAGTTGCGTAGGAACACACATGGCAGTGTGCTTTTCTTTCCTTCTCCCCTTCACCCACATTTGGCATTTCTCCCCAGGCTATCCCTCCCCACCTCCCCCTCCCACTGGCCCTCCCCTTTTCCCCCCAATAGACCCCAGTGTTTAGTACTCCCCTTTCTGTGTCCATGTGTTCTCATTTTTCATCACCCGCCTATGAGTGAGAATATGCGGTGTTTCATTTTCTGTTCTTGTGTCAGTTTGCTGAGGATGACGTTCTCCAGATTGTGACTGCTCTAACAGGAATTCGGGAGCCTATCTGTCACCAAGTTTTGACTGGAACAAAAAGTATATCCTCCTAGCAGCATTGGGCTTCCTCAAGCTGGCATTTTAGGTAGGGCTGCGTCATCCTATGGACCTTGCCTTAAGCAACTAGAAGGCACGCTAGAGCTTGCTGAGTCTCTAGTGCAGAGATTTGGGTGGAGTTGTTATATGATGAGGGTTCAGCACTTCTCACCATCTCCCTACCTATCAAAATGGAAGAGAGCTCAAGGAAAGTATATAACTGAGCTTCCACACCTTACTTAAGCTGCCACAAAAGTTTTACTAAGTTCTTGTAGACATGTTGCAAAGTGATAATGTGGATCTTAATCTCAGCATTCAACAGTCTTTCGGTTCTATATGCAGTGCTTGGAAAGCAACGTATGAGATTGAGGACATGCTACTCCAAAATATGGATTCTTGGCATTTGAGAAAACGGCAGGATCAGAAAGTTCACTCTCATACCTTTCCCCATCTTTCTGCCTTGAAGCCGGTCGTAAGACCCTCATTCTAGAAGTATCCTTTCCCAGAGGAAAGAAACATCCTTATCTTTGAAGACACAGAGATGCCAAGAAGAATCTGAACAAATTAGTCTTGCTAAGTTCCCTCCAGTTTATTGCCATTAGATTATACACCCCCTGTCCAATGTAGGGGAGAAAAAGTAGTATCTTTTCTTTGCCCATCACAAAGTTCGTGACTGAGACCCCTATAACAAAAGACAGACTAACAAGACAAGCATACATGTTATATGACAAGATAGGCTTCTAAAATAAAGACCCAGGGAAAACTAAATATTTTTCTTGTTTTCTTATTTTTTTTTTTTTCCAACAGGGTTTCACCATATTGGTCAGTCTGGTCTCAAACTCCTGACCTCAGGTGATCTGCTCGCCTCAGCCTCCCAAAGTTCTGGGATTATGGGCGTGAGCCACCGCGCCTGGTGAAAACTAAGTATTTTTATGGACAGTCTTGGAGAATAAAAGGGTATAATCTAACGGTAATAAGCTGAGTGGAACTTAACAAGGCCTGTTTGTTCAGGTGACTCCTATTAAATAAATCGGTGCTATTCTCTTGTTAACCTGTGTTTTATTATAGGTGCCATGAACCTAGCAATGAGCGAGGAAAAGGAATCTTTCCACCCCTACAAAGGGATACCATGGAATTTCTCATTGAGTGAATAAACTGGATCCCGGAAGAAGGATTGGTCTCCTAAATAGAAATAGAGAACAATAACGAGGGGAGTACCCTGCAGTCAGTAATAAGACGGTGTCTTTACTATCAAATCAGACCAGATCTCCTATGGGAGAGTCTTTTCCAAAATGACTTTGATTTCCTATGACTGTCTCCGTGTATTTCATCACAATCCCATGAAAACAGTTAACTCTCTAAGTTGTCAAAGAAATTTTCAATAAACATAACATTTAGTCTAATTCTCATTTTTCTCCTTTTTTGCCTTTTCGTTTAAAATAAAACAAACATTAATTACACAAATCATTGACAACCTAGAAAAACAATACCCTTCGTATTTCAAGACAGTGGAAGAGACAGTCTGTGTATTCAGAGAAAAATATCCCTAATTAAATGTTAGTGCAAGAAAAAGTTTGAAAGCCAGGTGTGGTGGCTAAGGCCTATAAATTCCTGCACTTTGGGAGGCTGAGGTGGGAGGATCACCTGAGGTCAAGAGTTTGGGGGAGTCATTATGCCCAGCTAATTTTTGTATTTTTAGTAGAGATGGGGTTTCACCATGTTGGCCAGGCTGGTCTCAAATTTCTGACCTCAGGTGATCCACATACCTAGGCCTTATAATCCCAGCTACTTGAGAGGCTGAGGTGAGGGAATTGCTTGAACCCGGAAGGTGGAGGCTGCAATGAACTGAGATCCCACCACTGCACTCTAGCCTGGGCAACAGAAAGACCCCATCTCAAATCAATTGATCAATCAATCATCAATCAATCAATCAATCAATTTAAAAAGTAAACAGCCCAACCAGGTGAATTAAATTACATAAGAAGGAAGAAACTTCAAGTCACTGGTGGAGCTTCTAATTTCAGAGTTTACGTTCTACCCAATAAATGGAGCATGTGGCATTGCTGCTTCGGACAGTGATTAACTGTGTGACTTTAGATGTATTGTTTCTTTTTCTATGCTTGCTTCTTCACCCATAAAATCATAATGGGTCTCTGTCGGGATCCTTGTACGGTAAATAAGTACAGGAAAACTGATAAAAACAGATTCTAGGCTGGCACGAATTAACCAAAATGATGACAGAATCAACAGGCATGAATGAGGTGATGGCGCCATCTGCTGCTTTGTTTTAGGAATTCAAAGTAAATTAGAGGAAGTTAATCTATTTTATTTATTTTATTTTTTGAGACGGAGTCTTGCTGTGTTGACAGGCTGGAGAGCAGTGGTGCAATCTCGGCTCACTGCAACCTCCTCCTCCTGGGTTCAAGTGATTCTTCCGCCTCAGCCTCCCGAGTAGCTGGGACCACAGGCGCGTGCCACCACACCTGACTAATTTTTGTATTTTTAGTAGAGACGGGGGTTTCACCATGTTGGCCAGGATGGTCTCGATCTCTTGACCTTGTGATCCGTCGGCCTCGGACTCCCAAAGTGCTGGGATTACAGGCGTGAGACACCGCGCACTGAAGAATTTCTGCAGGCTAGACCTGACTCATAATAAAAAATGGCACTTTCATTCTGCTAAAAGGCATCTATGGTTCTTCATTCATAAGGAATAATCAGCGTTAGGAGTTAGCTTCTATTAAGATCAGCTGTTTGAGTTCAATAATTGCCATCTACATTTATTTTTAATTTTAAATTTCTGCGACCATCAGTTGCCAGATAGAAGGAAACATATCTTGCTCGGTACCAATTCCCAGTGCCTAGAGTGTTGCATTAACTACATTAAATGGATGAATAAGATCATATATCCGGCT